CGAACGTCTTTTTATTGGGTGCAAATCTGGAGCAATCATGAGGTTGACCGGTCAAGCTTGTGTAGCGCTTGAGACGGTGGGCCTTAAGAGCACGATTGACAGTCCGCTGCAATGGCCCGTAAGACGCTGTACCTCGACTCTCGCGCATTCTCTGGATGGCCAAGCGCAGTTTAGCAGATAGCTTAAGCCGACGCTTCTTGCCCCCATCCGGTTTCATGGAGAAGCGACCATACGGGGAGTTTGACTGGAACAGCACACCTAAGAGGAGAGCACTCAGAACAGCAGCACCCTGAAGTAGAACATCACGTAACTCTGCGGGGTCAGAAGGTGGTGGCCACAAGTGCGTTGATAACCACGAGTGCAAAGATTGCAACAGCGGTGTTACCTCATCTATGAATTGCTGGATCGGGAAGTCCTTGAAGGAGCACCATTTGGGATCCCTGGTGCAACCAGCACCACGAATTGCCAAGCCAGGAATGCCAACAACGAGTGGGAAATGATCACTCCCCGCAACACGTAATTCGTGGATGACACGGAATGACCAATCCTGACTTGAGGATGTGTAGGCAATGGCAAGGTCAAGGATATTGCCTTTGATATGCGTGGCTAGGTGTGGCGGGCGTGCATTGAGAAGGCATCCATCACTGGCAAAGTGCTGACTGAACAAAAGATTCAGCCGATCATCGCCAGAAGCATGAACCGAAGCAGCAGAATCGGAGAGCAAGAATGTTGGGAGATTCATGTCCCCCACCAGGATGGGCAAAGCTGTATGATAACTCCTCACCAGTCGCTCCCAGCACGCGTGGGCCAAACGGAAATAATTCTCACGAGCTTCATACCCATGTCCAGGTTGCGGGGCGTACATCACCCCAACAAGCACAGGTCTGTTGCCTGCGATTAACCAAGCACCAAAATTGCAGGGGCCATCCGATACGTCCAACCGCGACCAACGGCCACGGATTTGTTCATCAAATATAGCCCCCACGCCATAGCCTGGCAGTGCACGAGCGCACCTAACAAAATCGAATTCAACGCCAGATTGTGGCGAGATATGGGTGACGGCTGTAACTCCAGTTTCCGCCATGAACATCGCATGGCAATCCTGGTCTCGAAAGAAGGCAAGGAGATCAATGATCTTTCCCTCATTTAATTGGCCATTCCTGTGCGTAAGGCAGGAACAGTTGCAAAACGAGATTGTCATCCCATGAGTTCGGGATGATGCGACCGAAGAGACTAGTCACTGAGTCTTGCGTTTGCCACGCCCCTTGTTGGAAACAAAAGCTGCATCCAAGTGTGGCCAAACTTCGTGGCCATCATGCAATCCACATTCCTGCAAATAGTCCTTGATAGCGGCTTTGCCCAGCTCACCAAGCTTCTTGGCAACCATTTTCAGGACAGTCTTGAGGTCCACAATGCGGGAGGAAGGCGTGATCGCTGGCAACAACAACTTGCCGTCGAGAGTTTGGGTGACCTGTAATGAAACATCCAATGGTGACACACGCCCGGCCCCAGCATCATGAAACCACTGCGAACGTAGCAAGGCGGATCTAATGGACCTCACTTGCTCCTGTTTGGAGGAGTTGATTCGAGCATTGCCGCTACTGCGTCCAGTGGAGCCTGGATAAACCTGCAGATTGCCAGCACCTTTGCCGAACTTGACCTGGAGGACCCCTGGCGACGCAAGCTGGGGCTTCTCGCATGTTACAAGACCTTGCTTTTTCATGAAGAGGATAACGGCCTGCAAATCATCCAGTGTAACCGCCATGCGCGGGAAATTAGGGTTCAAGAAGTGCAGGGCCCAACCATGACCATCAGTTTTCACATCCTTCAACCTGCCAGAGGATGAAATAACTCTTGGCCATGGAACAGGTGTGTCGCGAAGAAGATCATGAGGCTTCTGCGCCGTGTCAGCGGAAGGCTTCGATACCTCATCCTCAGGTCCTGGTAGCGGGGAGTCATCCGATGCCCAAGCCGCATTCAGGCTCCCATCCAAACACCTGCGAGTAGGAGGCCTAGGATTGGAGAGGCTGCGCATGTTGGAATCACGGCTGCATTTCGGTGAGCGAGAGCGCTCTCGACTGCGTGACTGCTGGGGGGAACTGTCCATGAGCCTGCCTCTAGGATGCAAGAACCAGCAATCTTTCCGAGTGCAGCGACGACCAAATCTGCATTCAATCCTGGATGGGGTGTTATCATGCTCACCGTCCTTTTTGACAAAGGTGTCATGCTCACCGTCCTTTTTGACAAAGGTGTCGGGTGGCGGCGGGGGCGGCGCGCTGAGATGCGGGCCTCCTGATGCCAAAGTATATCCAGAGTCAGGGATGGTACCGCATGGTGCGATCGAGGAAGGTGGCATCATAGACCCATGTGGTGCATTTGTATACCACGATCCAAGTGTAGCCAACTGCTCATGAAAGGCATTTGGTTGCGAGATGGCTGAAAAAGCATTCTGTAGCAGCTGCTGTTGCAGGAGGCCCATGGCCATCATGGTGTACTGAGATTGCTCATCCATGCTCAGTGACACACAGGGGACAACGAGGAATTGCAGGCCCCCAGCTCGTTCATAAATTGCTGCAATGCAAAAAGCCAGCATTCCTTAGCAACCAACCTGAAGCGGACAGGCATCATCAAGGGAAAACACAACAAACAACATCACCAGAGGCAAAAGAACAAGTGAGCGCAGTGTAGGTGAGCCACCTGGGTTTCAACAGGGACTTCAAGCAGGGTCGTCACGCCTACAAGAAGTATGTTCCTCCCCACTGCGCACCCAAACAGCGCCTACCCGCCTTCCGCCCCCAATGGATTTTCCCAAGCGAGTGGAAGCGAGGAGAAGTGCCGAGCTACCAAAATGATATACAAGCAAGCACTGACCTTGGCACCTGACAGTAAAAAGGAACACGTCACACAGGCACTGCCAGAAGGAAGCCACGGAGTTGCTGTCAGCAACAACAGGACGCAATGGGCATCCAAGACATTCGGCGTACCTAAGGGAGCTCACGACCCCGCAAAACCTCGTACGTTAAGCACCGGCCTCAGGGTATGCAGATCTCGCGAGTGTCGCAGTAAGCCAGCAAACAGCAAGAACATGTTGCTGTCCAAGTTGCGCTGACACATCAGCTAGACTAGACAATCAAAGAGCTTAGTCACGACACGACGGCACAACTCTAAGTGCCTCAGTGCGCCCCCCGGCTCGCAGGTCTTACACCCCCAGCCGCAGCCCCGGGGTGCGCCAACGCTTACCACAACTGCCCTCAGTAGCAAGTCATGTTGCCGTCCAAGTTGCGCTGACCCATCAGCGAGACGATCAAAGAGCTTAGCCACAACACGATAGCACAACTCTGAGTGCCTTAGTGCGCCCCCCGGCTCGCAGGTCTTACACCCCAGCCGCAGCCCCGGGGTGCGCCTGCGTACTGAAAAACTGCCCTTAGCCAGCGACTTCACATGCGGATCTACATGACAGAACTGTTGGGGGAAGGGTGCGCATGACGGCGTGTGTATGCGTGCAGGACGGCGAGTGCATCAAGCCAAGTGTGTGTGGGGGGGACCAGCGAGTGCGTGCAAGGAGGACAAACGTGTGCACTGTGTGTTGGGGGGGACATCACTGCCACAACTCAAGCAACACTCGCATAATCTCGCATACACACATCTCTCTCACGTTAGCCTGGGCAGGTACTCACATCAGTTTTGCATCAACACGCTTAACAACTGCAGATCATGGAAAATCATGGAAACATTGCTGAAGATTGCTGACGTGTAGGGAGTCTGATTGGTCTAGTTTATGCTTCCCGAGCACCTCCCCAACACTTCGATCATTTCAAGGGTCCGGCGGCTAGGTGCTTGTGACACCAGAAGCACCAGCCGCACTTCTAGAATGCGTAGATACATTAAGGATCCAGGTAACAGTGCCCCCCAAAAGCTGTAAGTCACCCATCTAAAGACATCTAAATAATGAAGCATTTTGAAATACTGAGTGATACCAGGTGAGCCTTGTGAGTGCGTTGAGTAGGTGTCGTGTGCTACATGAAAAGGATGCCTGCCCCCCTCACCAGCAAAACCCGATCGACTGCGCTTTGCCTCTTGGAACTGGCTGCAACGGGCTGGAAATTGGAATCGCGCAAGTCAGGTGGAACAGCCAGACAGCTAGGCCAATGATTGACTTTCCCTTGGACGATGTTGCACGTACTGCAGCATCGCCACAACCCTCGCCTGGAGTCCCCGAGTTGCTAGTGGCAAAGAAACTAGAAAGGGGCGGGTGAGGGCGCAGTTTTCGACTTGGGAGCACTGCTATCAAGACCATGCGCGGCACGCCTTCGCCGAAGTTGCTGTGGCAGCAAGGCCAGAATGCATGCCGACTGTGAGGATTGGTAGACACTCTTTGCAGGACGAAGCGTGGGCGAAAGCACACAACATTCCGTTGTGCCTTCCGCCTCGCATGGCTTTCCTGGACGCGGGAGAAGTCCCGGAAGAAGCGCGTGGGATGGATGACGAAGCTCATTGTATGCGCGACGATGACCTTCCTAGCAACGGCGGCGGTTCCGAGGACTTTGCCGGAGGCTCCTTCAGTTCAGACAGCGCCACTCAAGCTCTGTGTGTTTCGGACATATCCAGGCGGGATTCTTTCCACGACAACTTCTGTCGATGCCTGAGGGTTCGAGACATGCGCGACGAAGCGACAACAACGTGCATGGCAATCCGCCTATTGACCCAGGAAATGGCAATCCATCGAGTGTGACTGCTAGCGGTTTGGAGGTTTCAAGAGGCTTTGTTGATGTATAGATAGAAGAATAATGGAGACATGCCACTGCATGGCTGCGAAGGCACATGTCAAAGACATGAGGTGCCAACGATGCAGATAGCTTTAGCCCAAAAAGTCTTCGAGAATCTTCCAACGAACTGAGACGGGATTGCTTGCAGTTTCTCTCGCATGTGTGCTTCGCCTCACAGTGGCTCAGATCTATATGGGGATGTCTGTTGTAACCTAGCTTAGTGAAGTGGCACGGATGGTTTTATGTCTGCATCAGCGGCCCCCATTGGAGCGATTTCGAGTCCTGTGTGGCTTGGATCAGTCAAGTCAGCATTGATTTGTTTGAGTACGGTGCCTGGACTTGAGGCGCCGTATGCCTTGTCTTTGATGCCATCTTCATGCTGATTTTCGTCTTGTCGGGAATGTCTGCCAGTGTCCTTTCAGCGGAGACACTCTGCTACGAGCAAAATGGGTATTCTTGGCACAATATCCTGGTCAGTGCCCGAGTTTCCCACGAGTGTTGTGTGGGTCAGTCGAGCTGTCCTGAGCCAGCTTGTGGCCTTGGCGCAGGCCTTGAGTTTCATCGTGTCAGCGATATTCGCTGGTTGGGGTGTTCTACTGCATGGTGGCGTTGTTACCAGCGGCGAGGGTGCACCACTGAAGGAAGCACAGCTGGTAGGCGTTTCTCGATATGGCCACATCCTCGTGGCTTGGACGCCGCTTGCCTTCAGTCAGCTCTGTTTCGCATAATTGGCGCAACATGGTTTGTGTCGTTGCCAGGTTTATTGCAGCAGTGCTGGAAGCGATAGCCTACAGGCAACAACCTGCTGCTTGCATGGGAGACGGGGAGGCGGCAGTGGCCCAGCCAACCCTCACGACAGATAATGGCTTGACCGACAGTCATGTCGAGGCAGTGTGGCACTTGGTGTCCACGGTGATGTGGCTGGTGTGGGTGGTGGGTGCGGTTGCTGCCGCAATGTCCGCGAAACGAAACATACCACTGCTCTTAGAAGCAAGGTCGCAGGCAGAGAGCCCCCCAGAACGAGATAGCGCTCAACTTGTGGGAGTTCCGGTGGAGGATCTGCCCATGGGCACGGTCACGGGGATTGCTTCCGGCGCCGCTCAAGGGGGCGCTCCCGCAGGGGCTCCTGCCCCGATCGCGACGTTCCAAGGAATGCCTGCAGTGGCAGGCTCGATCGGAGCTGATGGAGTTTGTCAAGGCATGCCTGTTCGGGACGAAAGCGGCAATGTGTCCCGTCCGAGTCCGGCCTTAGGTTTCACAAAAGAAGTATGAAGCCTAGCCTAGCGGCCTAGCTCTGCATGGACACTCAAGTTTCACTCGAAAGCTACGGCCAACTGTCGCCCAATGCAGAGCGCGGCTTTCATGTCTGCTGCTGACCGTGGACTGTGCGAGGAGCCTTTCTGCGTTCGGTGGCTGATAATGTTTCGCAGAGGTTCAAGAGGTAAATGGTAGTGCGGTAGACCGCACAAGGACAGTCCATCATGACTACGACGGCACGGTATGGGCCATTCGGGCATTCAGCTAGTGCCAGACTTGAGATGGCGCTTAGTTCGTTGAAGGCCTTCTGGCCAGGCTGCAGCCACCGCATGGCGAAGCGGGCGCTGCGGCTGGCTTGTGCGAGGGCCTCTGCACAGCTGGGAGCGGTGCCCGACTTTCTGGGAGAAACTGCTTCTGTCGTCTTTGCCACGCTGGGGATGACCCAGCTGGCCAATTCCTGTTCGATTTCGTTTGCGAGGGGGGTTTCGTTGACACGTCGGAGGCACGAGGCATGATGCATGATCTTCCTCTCAGCGTGCATTCCAGTATGTGCTGAAAGTCTTCCATCCCTGCAAGCAGAAGGGAACACTAGGATGCCGAAGAGGCTGCCTCAACGTGTTTGGAATAAGGCTGTGCATAGCCTCTGTTCTGTGATGCATAGGGCGCTGCCCCGGTCTGGGTTTAGGGGGCGGCCTCTAGGGGCCAGGGGTGTCACAGGATGTGTAGGGGACACGAGACATACATCATTGAATCGCTTGACCGTGTCCCAACATCCTATATGTCCGGAGCCTTCCGAAGCAACCACGCAAACTCAAATAGTGTGGATAGGGAGGTGTTCTGCTACATGTTTGATATCTTTCGGGTATTTTCCGGGGTTTTGTAATGTTGCTTAGGCTGTTGGTTTATGGCTTGGGGAGTCTTTGTCTCACTCGTTCTTTGTCTTGCACCGCTGCTTGGCACTGGCAGACTCGGCCTGGCCTGTGCCGTAGCACAACCCCAAAATACTTAGACTTTAAAGTTCACCCCCACGGGTTCTCAAGTGTGAAAAGCCCAAACCCGAACAGCCCAACACGCACCCTAAAACCAGCCTTAAACCGCCGAAGCTGCTGGAGTAATCTCTTCAAGCTCTGCAAAACGCCCTAGAAACCGAGAAAACGCAACTAGAAACATCTTTGGCTTTCTGTGAGATTCCGTAAAGCATTCGCAGTGTATGCGGCGCTTGAAAAGTTGTACTTGGTAAGGTCGCGTTCAGCATCCTTATTCTCACGTACATGGCTCAGTGACGAGACCTTGAGCTGTGACGTCCTGTCCTGTCGAGCGCCTTCGCTAAGGCACCATAGCGAGTTCCAGGCGTCCGCTTCGGCCTTGCGAAGCATGCATGCGAAGCTCTTTTTGACTGGAGTCGAAGGCCTTCACCGGATCGGTCAGAGCACAAACCGGATCGAGGACTGTTGTACCGAAGCTGACAGGCTGCAGACGAGCTGGATAGCGTTGGTTTTGATTCCTTGATTTGAAGAAGTTTTTCCGTCATGGCTCATGAAGTGTTGTGCATGTTTCACTCAACCTTTGACTCAACCTTTTGAGTGCAGAAAGCAAGAGCCAGAACCCGTTGCAAATGGGACCAGGGGCAGCTTATGTGGTTAACTCGCGGCCGAGACGTCAAACACCCGCACGCAAGAGGACGAGCCTTAAAAGATCGCCTGCCCTGTTGCTGCTTCAGACCTTCCCAGACGGACCCTATGAGACGTGGTTCGTTGCGTTTTTTTGAACTTCTATAACAGGGCTCGAAGCATTGACCTGTCCAATTTGCTCAAGCCTGTCTGAGTCGTCGTGAATCTTCCCACACTTCTTGCAGCCCCGGCTCCTGAGAAGTGGGCTTTCTTTTCCACATTATGGAAATCCTGACCTGATGCTCGAGGACATAGCTTCCCTTTGAGGCACACGTGAGGGCTGAAGAAAGGAAATGGATGAGAGAGTTTGAGCTTGCTTGAGAGTTCGAGGGCAGAAGCTGAAGTGAACTTTCCCAGGCAAAAGGCCTATTCAACCTGCCAAAACAGCTACCGTATGAGGCCAGGCACACCGAAATTTGAATCAAGGCGACAAGCACTGGCTTGACAACGGGCCATAGCGCTTTCAGGGGCTTGAGGGATTCTGCCGGATCTCCTCCCAAGCCGAGCGGCCTAGATCCCGCACAGGTCACAAGCCGGCACAACCCTAGTTTCCTTTGCAGGCAGACCAGCAACCTTGATTTAGCGGATCGGTTGTCGGCAGGACTTCGCTTCGTTCTGTCGCTGAAACTGGCCTGTCCCAGATGCTCAGCTGCACCAGGAAACACGATGACTTTTTCGAGACAGCATGCAACTGCAAAGGCTAGCTGCACTGACCACGCTGTCGATTGACACCGGCGACTTAGCAATCATCAAGGACTGAGACAACTGTATTCACGATGCGAGGCCGCAATGCATGCATCAGCTGAGCATAGGAATATGCAGAGACCGGGCTGATTACCGATGCAACGACGCTGGCGACTTGGCAACGCCTTGCAACCTAAGCTGTTCAATCTGCAACGACAGATTTCACAGCCTGATGCAGGAACCCTTTGTTCGTCAGCCAAGCTGGATTGAGTGGAGATCCGGCATCAGACTTGAGACAGCTTCCTCGAGAATGCATCTTATCACTAGCGTTACTAGCTGTAAGCGACTTCGAAGGTTTACGTTGCATTCGTGGAAGATGCGTGCGGCCGCCAGTTTCTGGCAGATCCCTTGCTACTCCTGCACTGCAGCCCTCGTTCTCAGGATCGAGTACGCGTGTGGGAAGGTTGAAGGCGTGGATGAAAGGGTTGCCCTCGCGATGGACAAGCTGGCAGTAAATCTGGGAGTGGCGCGCCAGCCCAATACACCAGACTGTGTGCGATAAACCTCCCTGCTTGAACCACTTGGTTGCTTTGGTACATCACCTTGCTGTTCCCTTCCGCTAAACCCGCGCTACCTGCTGTATTGAGGCGATTTCTAAGTTGGTGACCGGGTACATCTCCACCGAGGTCCGTGAGAGCAGGGATGCACAGGCACAAAGAACTGTCTTCCCAGAGTGCTGGTGGGCCGGGAAAGGTGGATCCGAGATTGAGTTTCGACAAGGCCATCTATCAGCCGCATCCTGTGGACTTCTTGTAGCAGATTGTCGATGTGCAGGAAGAGACCCTTCGCCGTGCGCGTCGTATAATTGCTGCGGCCATAGAGAGACTTAGAGAGAGCTTGTCCCTTGGGCCGGGACACCTTCGTAGATAGCTTTTGTCAGAAAGTAGGCCTTGTACGAAGAAGCTGGTGTACCACGCGAGAGAGTCTGTTACTCAGCCACCTTCCCGGAAAAAGGAGTTACTTATCATGCAGCTATGCAAGGTTCTCATAAAGCTTGCAGCCACATGGGAGGGCATTGCAGCGATGGCGGAACTAGAGAAGGAGGCCACGATGTAAACAAGTGAGATTTCAACACTGTATCGCTGAAGACGCCGAGGGTATCACCTGTAACATGACGCTGGTGTTCGGGTTCGATTGAACCTCAACTTCTTCAAAGGTGATGGTACCTGTTGATTACATGGTCTCTGTTAGAGATGATTTCTGAGGTGCAAGCTGTAGCAGCCGCGCAGCTTCCGCCTCGTTTTGGCTTCCCGACAGCAGCCACTTTGCTCGCCCAGCCGAAAAACATCCAAGGTATGGTGCAAGGCTTATTTCACCTTTTCCTGGCCGAGTGTTGGACTGGCACAAGCGCAGCTCAGGCAGGTCGAGCGGATGTGAATGCACCAGTATCACCCAATATCTTTCAGAGTATTCAGAGATGCTGGGGGTGGAGAACTGTCTTGGTCTGAGGCAAAGAGACGTGGAGCCCCCGGGAGGCAGTGCCTGATGCCCACCATGTCAGCGTTGTTTGGCGTCGATGCGAGCGCGGATAGTGTTACATCAGGATGTGCCAAACGTCGTATACGAGGGCTCGCGTCATTCTGCACGGTCGCTCCACCTAACATCTGCTGAAGCTGGCCAGGATCCAGGCGTCGTTGCTGTCGAGAGGATGTGACCCCCTTGCCACTAGCTCTAGAGTCTATAGACATGCCTCCACGTTTTCCGTTGTATCAGACTTTCAGCAAGAGTCATTCACTTCTCGGCCTCCTCCCTGGAACGACGCCACCTGATGTCGGCTCGTGCAATTGCGGTGCAAAGGCAGCCATTCGCAGCCGACACACGGGCAGCCTTTGGCATTTTTGCAGAGAAAAGTAGAGACATATACATTCGAGCTGATGCAAGTGCCCTGGAATATGGGTAAACACAACCGTACATCACCGCACACGCAGCCAGTAAAAGTGCTGAAGTGCCACTCGAGACCTCGCAGCTGAGCGACGATGGCTGGCACGAGTATCATGCTGAGCATTGCAGAAGTAAGAAGGTGGAAGGCCCAATGTGAGCCGACGTGAGGACTTGGAAGCAAACGCTACCTGCGACTGGTGGCCGTCTCTGTTGCTCGGACTCAACAGACGAGAGGGCTCGAAGATGCTGGAAGTCGTCATTGGGCTCTCGAGGTGGCGTGCTGGGCCGCATGCTGCCTAGAAGGGACCAGCTTTGTCGGCACGGGCTCGCATGGGCCCATGCTGCCCAAGCTGCCCAAGTCTCGTGCGTTGTCACAGGAGACTTGGATAAACCATGCACGCATGCTTGTCGGCCACTGACGAGCCGAAGCTCAAATCCTGTGCTCAGACACAGCTGGCGGCAACACCGTCGCAGCGTGTGGCATATGCAGCAGTTGTTCAGGCACTTCATTGGTTCACCCATGTTGCTCTTGCTGGTTACCCACGTGGGCCAGGTGCAGGTGAAGGAAGGCCAGGAGGAGGACTTCCTAGAGGCCTCGACCCGTCCTTGGCTGCGTAGCATTTCTCCCGATTTCGCGATGCAGGCGTCGCTGCAGAATGCGCGAAAGTCCAAGGGCGAGCCGCTGAACCAGCGGTTCGATGTGCTTCAACAGCGAGCCTGGGTGTCGGATCGGTTTGGAGTCGGCTTGCACATCCGGTCTGTGACGGTCTTTTGTGGTCTTCGAAAGGATCGGCTCCAAGGTTTCGGCAAGTTTCGGCACTGGCTTCCCAAGGAGATTCGCCCGGCAACTTTGCCCTGGTCGAAATCTACAGGACCGGCCCTGTGCACCCGACATCCCAGAGGATGTGTGGCAGTATGTGGCAGTTTTTCCACAGCAGACCCAGGAATGCAGATGGGCCCGCCGGGCACAAGGAAACACCGCACTATCAGCAGTGGCGAAATGACGTCGCTGATATGATGGCTGTACCAAGGACACCTACAACCTAAAGAGTATGCCTCACGAGAAGTTTGTTTTTTTCAGGACCGCGGTGCAGTACGACACCGTTTTTCCGGGAAAGGACCCGCTCGCCAAAGACAGACAGCGGGAGTGAGTTTACACACTGTCTGGTTACAAAGTTCGTGCATTTCGGCATGAAATCCTTATAGCTCGTCACGGCACAAGAAGGAAACAACACTGACAGCAGTTAGCGTTTCTCTTAACAAAACGAGCACGCATCCGATGAATTTCAGGATGCCAGAAGCCTCGCCTCAATTGTTTGAGCGCTCGGGGAGGAACAGTGACAGAGGTATTATTGGGAGCCTCGAGCGCTTCTTTCGTTTGGCAAGCTCCGTCGATCCTTAGAACCCTGCGATTTGGGAGGGTGTCCTATTGGAGCGGGGTGGAATCTGCAAAAAGATATCTTTCACATGGTCTCCTTATCTTCTGAGCTGGACTCATGAAGGCCGAAAATTTTCAGTCATTATCAACCCCCATGCTGCTTGGCTTGGACTTGTCGCTTGAAGCTTCATTTGCACCGAGGCTGTCAACAGTCATGCAGTGCTTCCGTGTACGTCTAAAACATGCTGCGAATTCTGAAGTTCGTTGCCCTCGACTCCTCGAACTATCCCGAACTATCCCGCATTATCTCGAACTATCTCGACCTCTTTGATGCTCCCTCATGGCTTTTGTGACTCTCGAAAGAGGGCAGCGTGAAAATTTCTTACGCCCCCCACTTGTCCCACAACATGAAGTCGTGAATGACGACTTCATAGTGGCTTACCCATCCTGGCAGTCTCATCTAGCGACCGCGGTAGCTACAGGCCTGACCTCTCCAACGCTAGTGCACCCGGACCATGTACCCTTACAATGTTTCGAGGTAGGTACTGGCGGCGCTGGTAGTTAGTATCGTGCTTTGTGCCCACTGGCCGACATTTGTCCAAGCAGCTCCTGCTGGGTTACCTCGCATATTACTGCTGTGAGGTAGTGGCAGCTTGCCTTATGCGCTGCACGTGCCCCTCCGCAGGCGACAGACTACCATCCCGCAACGCTGATGCTTGAGAGGTCCCAGGTTCCCCCGGCACGAGTCTTGCTGCATCAGCATCGACGCGGCTTTTTCCTGTTCACAGGGTGCCGCGGACGTCGACGTCACCCACGTCGCGGTCAAGGTGAAGCCCGGAGCCGAGAAGGTGGGGATAGGTGGGGATTTCGCACTGTCTGTCTGTTTGTCTATTTGTCTGTTGGTAGTTTTCACAGGCAGACTAACGGCCCTTGCGCTGGGAAGGCGTTCAGGAAAGCCACTCGTGCCAATGCAATGGAGTCTGCTAGAGGCCCAGCGTCGTCACAGCACGGGGTCGTGTGTCGACTGGGTTTGGGAGTTTGCGATATGAGGTGAAGGAGTATGGCAATTTGCGCTTCGATGTGCTTCAAAGCGTGGACGACCCGACCGATTTCCTGCTGATAGAAGTGTACAGGCTACTGCCTGTGGAGAGGTAAACCCTGTAGAAATCTGACACACATCTTGTTTTTGCTGGAGGACGGCAGCTGATGCGGCCAAGCACAAGAACACGCCTCATTATCTTGAATGGAGGCGGTCTGTGTGTTCTGCCGTTCTGTCATGCCTCGCGAATGACAGCAGACGAGTGGCAGCAGGTCGACTGTGGCATTTATGATGGCAGAGCCGAGGGAAGGCAGGAAATATGTTGGCAGCTCGTGGTCTGATGGGACAGTGCCGTGGATTCATGTCTCGCAGAACTCATAATGTCAAATGAGTACTCTCCTTGCCGAGGTCACTCACTTCCCAAGCGTTCCTGCTGCATGGAAGGTGGCCGAAGGAGCCCGCAGCTCAAGCCGTGAGGCAACGTGAGTTCTGGATTGCTTCACCTTCGGACTTAAGTTGCCACTGAAGCGATGGACCTGACCAAGGTAATATGATGACAGCATGGAGCCGATGTGTGAAAGACCGTTTGTGGCACAGTGCCATGTTATATGTTTTGACTCTTGCCGGCTTTGATTGGAATCAGAGCTGCACGAGCGACATATAGCGACATATTGGATGTGAGAAATGGCACCGCATCTGCCCAGCTGTGAAACGAAAGCTCCTGCCTGAGCATTTCGATCTTGCCGACAAAACATTCACCACAGGTATTCCTATTACAAGAAGTACGGCCACAACACGATCTGCATGCCTGCCAGCTGGCGGCCTTCCAGGTGCCGTGTGGGGTTGACAGTTGCGAGGCTTGCAGTCTCCTGCGGCGAACACAACTTTCCAGACGCCAGGGGCGCTGGTCACGATCTGGACGAAATCCAGGTCTGTTCACGGTCTGGGGAGCTTGTGCAGGTGAACTTGTGCTTAAACATCTCGATCAGTTTGAAGGCAGCGTTCGGAACGGGCGAGGCTTTGAGGACATGTGACCGCATGTGCCGGCTCAAGTCGCGGATTGCAGATCCAGGCCGGTGACATCTGCTCCAATGTGAGCTCGCCCCACTCACTGGCGCTGCATGCGTTCACGTTCGCGGTCAAAGAGCCCAAAGAGCGTCAGAGACAAAGGTGCAGCAGATGCCGGCACGGAAGTAGCAGCTTTGCCGAAGTTGTCCACCCAGCGTCAACTTGTCGTCCAAAAATTTAGGGCGGCTTTGGACATCGTGTCTTCGAAGAGCAAGAGCCCGATGAAGACTTCTGAAAGCAGCCTCTTAGCCGCCAGGATAGAAGCACAGCTTCACGAGAAATTGGATGGGCGGAGATATACGAGCCAGGCGAGATCGCTTCTTTTCAACCTGAAGGATGATTCCAACGTGGACTTCAGGGAGCGCTTGCTGAGTGGCGAGCTTGACCTGAAGCGACTTCCCGAAATCTCAGCGGAAGAGATGGCCAGTTCGAGTCGCAATGCGCAGAGGGCACATTTAAGACAGCAAGCACTGGCTGAGACATCTTTGCGACCTTCCGGGATTGTTTCGACAGATAAGTTTCGCTGTGGAAGATGCCTTGGAACGAAGACCAAGCATGTACAGAATTTTGCAGTCGAGAGCTGCGTTCGCTCAGGGGGCGAGCCCGTTGAAACAACGGTTGCTTTCGTGACCTGTCTCACCTGTCACCACACCTGGACAGAGCGCAGTGGCTTCGCCTAGGCCTACGTAGCTTTCAAAAGCTTGCTTGGGCAGTCGGGGCTCTGCTACCCTCCGTTGGACTTCTTCTTTTTCTTAATGACTTGTGGCACTGTGCAGTCACCTTTCTCTTTCGGCTGGCATTTTGCAAGGCGTTGGCAGGAGTTGATAGAATGACAATTCCACCGGGGCTGCCCTCTTAGAGGAGATACGTTGTCACCTTTGGGTGGGCTATCTCGCTTCGTGAACCAGGCTCTCGTTCGCGAAGCTAAGGTTTCTCAAGCAGCTTGCTGAGGACACTGGCGTGTTGGAGAGGACCTGGGCTCTTGGGGCGACTCTTGAACTTGGCGAGCGCTTGAATTCGGTGGCACCGCATTGCTGTTCGCAGCCGTAACGGCCTAAGAGCAGAAGGCAATGCCTGCGGCACAGCTTCCCATCATACCGGCGCACCAGCGCTACCTCGCGGATGGCAAAGAGCCGCAAGGGCAGCACGGGCACAGCGGCATCGGTATCGGCCAGCAGGTCCTGGCAGCGGCCTTCGAGTTGCCCGGCCGCGAAAGCGTAAGAATCTCCTTGCCTTGGTCTTGCTGCTTGCTGCCGCCCAGGTCCTTCTCGCGATCACCGGCAGTGTCACCAGTTGGCATTCCCGTCGACGCCGAGCTGCCGCTCACGGTACAGCGCTGAGAAGTTCTCAGATCTGTCTCAGACTCATGCAGGCATTTGCCGGCCTTGGAATGCGTGCACCAAAGACACCTGAACTGCGCCTTCCTCCGGGATATCTTCATTCCCACCAGTGTTGCACAGTCCAAGCGCTAACAGCAGACCCTGCAGTGGCCAGGTGAAGAATACCTTCATCGATGTGGAAGAGGAATCACCTGATTCCATCCATTCACTTCATGATCGCGGAGCCAGAACCTGTACAGCTCGCATGTCTCCATCAAAAGGGTTCTTTGACGAGCAACCTGATCAGCACGATGCTTGGATTTTCAAGCGCCAGGTACGAGTGTTGGGAGAGTAAGAGTGGTTGAGATCGTCTGGAAATGGCAACGAAATGCCGGAATCATGACACAACGATGGGAGTGCTAAGGAACTTTGGGATCCATATTAATTGCACGAGCTGACATCAACTGTAAGGCTTCAGGCAACAACTACCGTAAATTTCCTTCAGTTGGACATTGATTTTGGCTGCAGCTTTTCTACGGGATGTGGAGGACTCTGACATTCAAAACCTGACAGCACCGCATGCCGCCCGAAAGAGCACATTCACATACGTAGTGCGATCTTTTCGTAACATGCTTCGGGAGGGCTCACGAGGCTAAGCTGCCAATAGAGGCCGCACGCTCTTGCTCTATGTTCGCGGTGCAGTGAAGTTAACAGCTTTTCGCTTGTCCCCGGCATTGAGCCTACGCTTGTGACGGGCGTCGATCTTTCAGGGTAAGGAGATGCAACCAAAGCCCGTGCTCAAAAGAGTAAGGAGATGCAACACAGTGAGCTGACCGCGGTCCCGCCGGACTCACCAGACAAGCGGATGGATATAAGACTCTTAGTTCCAGAAGATGACCATGATGGCACAGGCGCTGAGCTTGAAGGGCGGTAGTCAGAGGTACAGTACGGGTCCATGAGTGGCTGTGGTCCGAGGCAGCAGCCCGGTCAGCCCCAGCATGCCGCCGCCCTCGGAGTCGGCCCCGACCTTCGAGGACGACGGCCCAGCGGCACCGCCGCCGCAGACGCTGGGCTTTGCTTTTGGCCTTTTGGCTCTTGGCTCTCCGGTCTGACGGCTCTTCGAGCATTGGCCATTGGCCCCAACTGAGGATGAGCCCGTCGCATTTCGGAAGGCAGCTGCTGGGCCTTGCTTTGCAAGCCCCGGAAGCGCTTTCCGCACCTCCTTCAGAAGGATCGAAGTTGCATGGGCTGTTTGACGAGGACATCCGGCATCTGACTGCCAAAGCAGCACCTTCATCTGCAGTGAGAGTGTCGCCTTGTCAGGAGGGTCTACCAGCATGCCAGCCCTGTGCACTTTGGCAAGAAATCAGCCCAGTGTTGTCATGAAGCTTTGCGAGAAGTTCGTCTTTGTAGGCAAGCAGTAGCACATCCATCAGTGCTTCAAGCTGTGTCACCAAAGGCTTGGTTCCACAAGAAGCCCAGTGGTTGTATTAATGGCACGGCATGCAAGCGCTGCCACCTTTGCCCAGAGGGGGAGCCAAAGCTTCGCAAGAAGCAGTTCCTTGACCTGAATCCTGGACATTGGTGTGGAACTGCCACAGACTCTCATCCCGTGCCGCACGGTATCAGGCATTCCATTTGGTGCATGCGTGAATTTCACCTAACATAGCTGGAGCGAGGTTGTCTGGATCAGACAGTTTCAGGGAGTGCTTGGCATGTGCTGTGAGATACCCATGCCAATTTCATCATTCCTGAGCGAAGGAAAGTTGCTCGGTTACGACAACAGCAGGCAGAGGCTGCCAGTCGGGAGGCTGCTCAGGCCGGACCTCGGGCGCAAGGTTATTAGCTATAGATCAAGCTTCAGTGAAAGATTTGCCGCAGTACGCTTCATTTCACCCCTTGATGCAAAAGCACGGTGTCGGAGCTTACGATCAGGGTTTCCTGCCAGAGCGGCAGATGGCAGTGTTTCGCTTCTTTTGTGTTTTGTGCTGAAGAGCTTCACTTTCCTGCAGTAAGATGCTGAAGTGGCTGAAGCCGATGCTCGCGCTTCTCGCCCTGTCAGTCCGAGTCTCCTTCGGCAAGCAAGCCTGCGGATGCGACGAGAGGAGCATGGAAGATCATAGGGCCATGCAGAGTCATTGAGTTCCGGTTTGTCAGGACCTTCCTCGCCTGGGGGTTCTGCTCCTCTTGGGGTGGGCGCAGTGGCTTCGCAGCCTTCGCAACCAGGCGCCATACCCGGCACAGGTGCTGGGCCTTGCACCGGCGGCCCCCCAAACAGTGGCCCTGGTGTCATGGCGGTCCCGCAGTCACCGGGTGTCGTTGCAGTCCCAGTTGGACAACTTGGACAGTGCCTTGACTCCCAAATATTCTGATATGAGCCGCAGCATTGCGAAAACATCAGAACACTGTTTCTTGACATCATGTTGAAGCATGATGCCGAATGTTTCTGAGGGGCTGCGGGATGCCGGCTCCCATGTACACCGTACCAGTGGCGCAGTATCAGTTGCTGGCTGCTCCCGGGGCCGCGGCTGTTCTCATGCAAGTGCCTGCTGCCGTGCAGCTTGCCAGATGTGGTTGCTGTGGAAGTAATCGAAAGCTGATTGCCAGGCCTACTGGTGAAACCTAAGCGCGCAGTCTCACCAAGAGACCTCGTCAAACTTCATCCTCGCAGAAGCTGAGGTCGCAGCAGGGTCCTGCTCAACAGCTGCAAGCCCCCCAGCAGATTCCTGCCCAACAGATCTCTGCCCAGCAGATTCCTGCTCAGCAGATTTCTGCTCAGCAGATGCCTGCACAGCAAATTCCTGCCCAGCAAATGCCCCCCCAGCAGATGCAGCAGATTCCTGTTCAACAGATCCCTGCCCAGCAACTCTTTGGACAACAGCTTCCCGGCCAGCTGCCCCCACAGCTTCCGCCCCAGCAGCCCGTTCAGCTGCAGCCCCAGCTTCAGGCTACACAGCCAGCTCCAATCCAGCAGTTTCAGCCTTTGCAGGCTGTACAACAGTTTCCCCAGCTTTCTGTGCAGCCTGTCCCTATGCAGCTTCCCCAGGGCATGTGTCAGCAAATGCTTCTTCCGGGCAATGTTCAACAGGTGGGTGCTCCCGTAACCTTGCTTCTCGGATGCAGTGCTCATAGTCTCATGGTGTGTGACTTCGTGGCGTTTGGTTGCGACATCGATTGTCCAGCCTAAGCCACTGAGGCCGGTGGCTGCGGTGGCTGGCAAGCTGGAAGCACCACCTTCACCACAGCAGAGCCGACAGCCTAGCCCTCGCTGGGCTGATATCACTGACAGCTAAGCACGCTGCACCTTTGATTCTATATAGTATGAGTCACAAAAAGATACACGGAAACGATCCAGCTTCCAGAGGTTGAGCCTGCTCAGTTCGGCATTGCCAGAGTTCCACAGACATGACGAAACCATGTGTTTTAGCGGTGTAACTCGACGGCGGCTAGACGAGTCACGCAGCTCCCTCTCGGAGTGATCACGTTGTCACATTGTGTCGGTTGGGTCATTAGACAGCCAGAGATTTTCAACACGGCTGCAACCCGGTGCCTGGCGCGGCAAATGTCAGATGGGGACAGGTGCAGCTCATGATGGATGATGCACCTGCACGCCCGTGAACATGGGCATGCACAGAAATGCATCTCAGTATGTGCCACAAAGCCCTAACGTGATAGAGAGCAGTAGCAGACCAAAGCCCTCGAGATTTTACTTCTGTGGTGCCTCTTTGCTGTGTGTCGCAGCGTAGCATGGCCAAGCCAGGCTACTTCACCAGCAGACTGGGAATAGTGTAATGCATCACCTCGCGTGAAAATGACTTTCTTGGAATTCCAAGCCTATGCTGGTTCCGAAGTATTATGAAGCGTTAGCCGCTATGCAATTGCCGAGCGTGAGGATGTTGGAGCCGGAAGTCTCGGCAGCCAGATGCGAGGACGAGGAGCTCTGTGGTGGGCAGATGTCGGAGGTCTCTCACGTTAGACAGCCCTGTAGGTATAACGATATAGCAGCCGTAGCATGAAAACTTTCCTTCCGGAGGTTCAGTTCCGCCTGCTCTTCAACGAAGATGCATGCGCCACGGAGAAGACCGCCGAGGCAGGACGCGACATCGCCCCACGCGACGGCACGGGCTTTGTCGCTTTGTCGCTATGGAGGGCCTGAGAGCGTTCATCTCCGACACCAACAAGCTTGAGGCCGAATGCATTTTCACTTTTCAACCTGCCTGAACGAGCACCAGGCCGCGCTGCGGCAGAAGATCCAAGCCGTGGCCTGACGAGCGCTGCGGGGCATCCATGCCGCTAGCACCATAGAAAGCAGGGCATAGTTTCTTCAAGAGCCTTGAGCGAAGAAACGGTGCTTGTTGAGCCTGGCGATACCTGACGCAGGAGTGGCATGAGTGCACAAGCAGTCTTCAGCTTTTGGTCGTCTTCTGCTGGATCAAGACAGGTGGACCGAACCGCTTTACCCACGGATGGAGCCTTCGTTGAGCACCGCAGTGGGCAGAGGTAGATTTAGCAGCAATGGCCCGCTTGCAAGCTTGTGGCGTGCAGATTCCAGGCATTCTGTGTGCAATGCTCATGGCTTGCAAGGGCGTTTCAGCATCCTCTGCAACTTGCCCGGCCACTTCGCACATCTGTGACGGGGATCCATCACATTTGATGCAGATAACATCTCTCAGGTCAAACGCAGCGATAGGGCTATTCCGTGCCGCTCGGGCACCCCTCAAGAATGCATCCGGGGAGCCAGCACCAACAGACATTGAGCAGCATCTGGCCGAACAACTAGAAAGCACGAAGTCCGAGAAAGACAAGTCGAGCACTCGGAAGCAATGGCCGGGGACGTCTGTGAATGACACGAAACTCAATGCCACAGGAGAGGAAACAGCACCCTTTGTGCATGCCGAGTACCAAGGTGCTAAGGGCAAGGCAGTTGAAGTGAAGGTTGAGATAGCGACGGCAAGTGAGATTGTGTCCATCTATCTCTTGCTGTTCGTGCCACTGCTCATGGGCTGGGTCTACTACTGGTATGGGCTTACGACGGGTCTGGGACAAGATGCATTGTATCAACTTCTGATTCAGCTGAGTGTCGGAGCGACGAGCATTGGAAATGTGATTGCCAACCAGTCGCTTTGTATTTTAACACGCGAGCCCATGGCTCTCACATTTCTGCAGGCTGCCGGCCTCTGTCTCGCTGGGCTCCTCGTCTCGGCACTGTCTGCCTGCTCTAGCCGCCGAAATGTCACTCGCCATGCGCTGTCTGGGCTTTGCAAGTGGACGCCTGCAGCTGTGGCTTTCTGTGCCTATCAACTGGCGGATCATTTCCTCTCCAACAACAGCTCAATTTCAGAGCGCACCATTGTGGGCAACCTTGGCCCAGTGGTCGGCCTTGCTGCGGAAATAACTATGCCAAGTATCTTTGTTGTCGGTGCCTCGAAAACCAACGAGGCAAGTCTGTCATCCAAGATGGCTCTCTTCAGCACCGTGTTTGGTGCAACAATCTTCGTATTGCAAGATCCTGACTTCAATTGGGTTGGTATAGAGACATCCTCAATCTGGACACTCTCGCACGTATTGTATAGATTACTACAGAGAGCCTTGCTCGGCAGATTGGACGATGTTCCCGTGGCCTGGATGATGGCCTGGGATGGGTTTCTGCTTTGCATCCCTGCCGTGTTCATGTCTGGCGGATCTGCGGCATCAATTTGGAACGGCTGGCAGATCTGGATCACCAATTCCCAGATCTTCATTCTCTTGCTTTTGTCGACGCTGTCCTTTGCCTCTGGGCACTTTGTCACAATCTGTTGCTTGAAGAGCTCTTCTGCCACACTTACTATGGTGATCGGGAACATTGCCACGACCTTATGCTTGGTCCAGGGTATCCTCTTCTTTGGAGACCGAGACTTTCAGCAGCCCCTGACCGTTGTGGGAATGTTGATCAACCTCTTCGGCGGCTTATGGTACGCAAAACAGGATGCAGCGACTCCAGCGACTTGCGATTCAAAGGGAGAGAACGCCCCCGAGATCGAAGATGAGAAAGTAGCAAACTCCTAGAGTTTGTCTACCGGAAACAACTGTAGCATTTTTGTGAGTACAGTAGCCGACATGTCCTTGTCCGCCTGGTGCCAATTATTTGTGAGTCCGGATGCAGCTCCTGAGGAGCCTGCGCAACGACCGGACTCGGCGCGAATGCCGGACAGTTAGAAATAGAATACTGTAGCCGCAAACTCGTAATGGCCTCAGCTTGGTGCAGAAGCATGAGGATGATGAGGATGCATGTGATGTGTTGGGTGCTGCGCTGCTCCAGTTGGCCCAAGAAGTCAGGAGCCTTCGCGATGGCCTCGTAGAATCGCAAGCGGCCTCCCCCAGGCTGTGCTGAGCGGGGTGTTTGGGTGGAGAAGCTTTGCTGAGAGCGGCAAGATTCATGCCGAAAAAGCTCTTGCAATTTGGGAGTGAGCCGATTATGCTCCCGCACTGGCATCGTGATGATTTGTGAGTTGTGTCGTACATGCTGCAATTGGGGTATAGCCTTGAGCCAGCGAAAGCACAAGCGAGCGTCGGGGCGCGCCCAGACCAGTGACGAACCACTGGAGGATCAGACCACAGAGTTTAGTTTTTTTGAGTTTGTGTGTCTGTGTGGAAACTACAAAGGGCCTAGGAGATGCATGTCATAGAATGAAAAGAGTCGTGACAAAGATCAGAGCGGGATGGCCCTCACTCACCAGCATGCCCAACGAAGCTTTGTGTGTAAGGGGGAAGTGCTAGAGGAAAGGCTTGTACCTGCACATGAGGATCGATGGGGACTGGAAACGTGGACCTGGACAGGACCCAGAATCCCCACTACCTGCCCACTACTTGGCAAACGACGTCGACAACGGCGACGCAGGGTTCAGGTGACTCATGTTGTTCCTTTTTGACTTGTAAACAGCAGCAAGCAAGGAGTTCGAGCCTTTTGAAGACCTCTCAACGTTATCTTGTTCCCTTCGGCCCCAGAAGGCAAAAGAGAGCTGTGCCTGAAGGCAGCCAAAACAGAGCGACCACTTGGACTGTAAACGATGCGCCTCCCCATCCCCCCCCTCAGGTGCCCCTGAGAGGGGGAAGAAGCCATCCTCCGCGAGCTTGATTAATTTCGGAAGCAGGAGAGAAGGACAGCTGAAACCCTTTGCTAGCGGCGTGCACTGTTCTTCCGCTGCATTGTTGCTTAGGGGAGGCCGAAGACATGATTCGCTTGCCCGTCAACACCTGTCTGCAGTTCGTGCCGCTCGGGCTCGTGGCACAACCAGCCTGAGAACTTGAGCAGATGAGGTTCGCCCATGGCCGCAACTGAGCCAATCGACAAGGCAGGGTCCAAGTCCGATGACGGCTTGCTGGCAAGAGCAGTTGAAGGTGCACAGCAGCCGGCAGCTGTGGGTGTTGGCATTGCTGCCTGCCTAGATCGCATTCGCATTGAGTTGCGCACGCGGTGCACGTCAGGTTCTTGGGCCATGCCAGCTGCTCGGTCTTCTTAGTCCTGGTCAACAAGACCATATCGATGTCCTTTCCTTATGTCCGCAGCCCAGCCCGGCGTCCAGCCCAGCGTTCTCTCTTCAGCTCTGTCATTGCGTGGGCGCGCACAGGCTTGGACAGTTGTCGCTCTTCAGAACACGGGGACCATAGTGTGCTCTTGCATTCTGCACTTCAATGGCAAGGCATGGTCCTGTGATGTGCCTGAAGCCTTGCCATTGTCTGCAAGCCTGTCAAACATAACTCGTCGAGGTGCTTCTCCGCCGGCTGCAGAGATCCCAGGCCCGAATCGCTGCGAAAGCACGGGAACGAGCTGGTGCTATCCGTCCATTGAACACTCAGGAAAGTGCATGCTGCACGAATGTCCGACTCTTTAGAACACAACCACCTTGCACGGGACATTGCGTCTGACAGTTCTTGCATCGCCTTGACCAACGTCTTTCCATGAAAAGTGTTGCATCTAGCTGCAAGGTTACCTGGGTTTCAGTATTTGGCGAGCTTAACATGCCTTCCCGCGAGAACAGATCTGACAGGGAGAGCCACATCCATAATTAGAGGGTTGATGAGGGTTGTGATGCCAGGTGCTTCCGCTCTTCATAGATGCCGTTTGGCTGGTTGCGGTGCCTTGGAGTTCGTGTTCGGTGCCAATGCCATGCTTGTTTTGCTCCGCTACCGTACTTGCAGATTCTGATGGTGCAGGTGCTGATGAGCAGCTTCAAAGCCTTGGAGGAGGTTAGCGATTTGGTGGCGTTTAACTTGGTTTCATTCGTCACGCCTTGGCAAGGCTGGAGGTAACCCGCGCCATGGGTTCCCACAGCTTGCAGGCTTGCAGTTTTTTCATCGAACTAAGGCGTTCCTCTTTATGCAACTTATCATTGCAATTGCCTGTTTTCCCATCCGATGAGACTAGTTGCCTCCGGAACAAGTCTACTCTCGCGACCCAGGTAGTCATTCGCAATACTGTCCCCTTTCTGACGGCCCTTTGCGAGCGTGTTGCTCTACAAAAGCCCATGGACGCAATGCTGGTACTTGCGCTGTTGATCACTTTCGTCGGTACCATCCTCTATTCAGTGGCTTGGCCGGCAATTTGAATGGAGATCGACAGCAGGCCGTAGCATTGCCATCAGCTGCATTGGACTGGTCAGGTGACAGACTTTACTATGCGCTACAACGGCGCCATTTTTGCCGTCTCCAACGCGGTGTTGGTTGCAGGTATGTGCACGTACGAGAGATACCTCATGACATCTGCAAATCTTGGCATGTCGGCGATAGACATAAATTTCCATCGTGTGGCCGGAGCCTCGGTTGAGGGTGTTCAGCCAGCCTATGTGACCTGTGGGCGTGGCGTGGCCCTTGAGGTTCTGTCGATGCCGATGATCGCAAGCCTCGGCTACATGGAGGGCTTTCCAGCCACACTGCTGGAGCTGGCAACCCGAAGGCGAGGGGAGTGGGGCCCACTGTAGCCGACTGCTTCAGCCTTGGATGACAGGTACGAAGCTTCGCTGATTGCATCCTCGGCTTTCGCTGCGTTCGGCATCGGTACGCTCCTGCTGGCTTTACAGGCGCCGCCGCCAGCGCGGCAAACACGCCTTTTCCGTGCAGCATTCCTGCAATGCGACATTGCTAAGTGGCTAAGTGGCGACAGGGTCATGTCATACTGGAACCGGAATGCGGGTATCTGTCGGCGCAACAAATCGAATTGAGTTTCGCGCAAGGTGGGGGGTCTAATCTCGCAATCAACCTGCTAGATTGAGCAGGCCCTGTCCCGAAAAAACAGAAGCCACATGAACCATCCCGAAAACCGCACGTAGACGCATGTTTCGTCGAAATGGCATGCCCCAGCGAAGATGAAGCATAGACATATCCAGAATCTCATGAAGAGGGGCCACTTCAGAACTTTGGCAAGGCTGCAGGGCTCCCGCTGCGTCCATGCAAATTGCCAAGTCTGCCAGAGAAGAAGCGCAGACACCAAACAGCGAAAGTCCACAGAGGACGCGAAACGACACCGCACGCGAACGGAAGAGCCCGGGCCCTGCTTGCATTATTTCATTTGTTTCTCCTACTCTGTATTACTCTTGCTCCTTGTACTACGAGGAGTAGGAGTATATAATAGGAGTAGCAGGAGGAGCGGCAGTGGTAGTGGTGGTAGTGGTAGTAGAGTTTGCAAACTCGAGCTTCTAGAACCCTGGTTTGACAAGAACAGTTGAACAGTTGTCACGGGGAGTCTAGTAGTAGTAGAAGAAGTAGTCGTCGTCGTCGTAGTCGTAGTCGTAGTTGTTGTTGTTGTAGTGGTGGTGGTGGTGGTGGTGGCGGTGGTAGTTGTTCGTCGTTAGTAGTTCGCAGTTCGTAGTTCGTAGTCAGTAGTCAGTAGTTTAGTTAGTAGCTAGTAGATTGTAGCTTGTAGTTTGTCGTTTGTAGTCGTCGTAGCAGTAGTTGTTCTAGCAGAAGTTCAAGTAGTCTCGCAGAAGTAGCCGTAACAGCAACAGCAGCAGCAGCAACCAGGAGAAGGAGCTGTTGCTGTTGCTGTTGTTGGTGTTGTTCTGGCCATTGACGGTTGTTGTTCTTGTCGTTGTTGTCGTTGTCGTCGTGCTGGCCGTGTTGTGGTTACCGTTGCTGTTGCTGTGCAAAACTTAAGCTCGCTCTTGTTGCCGTGACAATTGTCAACGTGGATGGTGGGTTATTGTTTGAATGTCGACCCTTCGTGGCCATTTTGGACTCAAGGGCGACACCCATCTTTGGTGAGCCCAGGAAACAAGGTGGGGGGTACATGGCTTAGCAGTCGTTCCCTGGACAGGGCCGCGTTATTTCGCCTTGGGCGACCCGTTGGCCTTAGGTTCGTGGGACTGCTGGGTCCCGTGGGCACTCCTTAACTTGTGCTTTTGTGTCTGGGTCTTCGGCTTCTGCTGTGGCTTCCTGCTCACTCGGCCGAGTGACAGGGCTACGGCAGGCCGGGCCCCGCCGACACAACCCCGCTCTGCGGTGGGTGGTTGGGAGGCCATTGACTTTGTGAGGAGCCGCCGCAGGCTCTCCTGGCCTTCGCCCACCTGCTCTCCGGAACTCGGAGACGGCCAAGCCCAACCTGAGGCGGAGCACCGCCCGACGAGCCTCAACTCCAGGCCCCGTTCTGCACGAGGAGCCGGGGCTTCAAGCCATCACGGACTTGCGCTTGGTCAGGGGTGACCGGGGGCTTGGAACGGCCACTTCGGACCGTTTTCGGCGACCCAGCTCGCTGGCCCTCATCCTTTGGCCCGCGTGGGACTCCATGGCCCAGGCCCTTCAGGTCCCAGGACCGAGCACTACAAACCACACGCCACAACCTCCGACAAACTTTACAATGGTGGAAAAGGCCCGGATCGAGTCCGCCCGTTGGGTGGCCCTCATCCTGATGGGCATCGCGCCGGACTCGCTGGGTACTTCGGGACCACCGCTCCCTGCTTGGGCCCTAAGCTGGGGAGTGGAGCAAGAAGGAGCAGCCGGGGCCCGCCTCCTACCACGCCTGGATGGAGGCCTGAAAGGTCCTTCGGACAGCTCTCCTGCTCCTGGAGATAGCCGACGCGGAGAGGCTGGACGCTTATGCGGAGCACATCCGCAGGTTCGTGACGCAGTTTGGAGATAACGCCTGGTGGTTGGTCTACAAGGCGGAAAACAGACTCCGTTGCGAACACATGGAAAGACTCCTCCCGCCGCCTTCTCCATGATAAGCCAGAACACGGCTATACGCCAGCACGCCCGTGGAATGCGGCATTTGCTGCGGCCACACGGGACGGCGACTTCTGGACGAGGGAGCTTGTCACACCTGTCACCTTCATCTCCCAACGTCAAGGAGGAGGCGGAGGCACGGGCAGTGCGGGCGGAGGCTCAGGAGGCACCGGCAGTGGCTTCCAGCCAGACCGCTGCCCGCATGGAGGTCAGGACTGCGAGAGAGGCTCCCCTCGGAAGAAGCAGAAGGGCAACAAGCGCTACCAGCCAAAAGAAGGGGGGCATCTTCATCCGGACCCGCCGTGGTGCCAAGGTGTGCGAAGGGTACAACAAGGGCAAATGTAGGCCAAGAAGCCACAGAGCAAGTGCCGGGATGGAAACTCGCACCAGTGCAACTTGTGCTTGGGCCCACATCCTGCCAACGAGTGCCCTAAAGCCTGACCCGAACCGCAGCCTGCTGACATCGCCTCTGCCGCGGCGGCAGGGTCTGCTGAGGGAGGGCCGCCACAGCCGTCTCCCCCAGGTCGTGGACCAGACCTGCCAATCTAAGGCGCCGGGCTGCCCGCCAGAGGAGGCTCCGCGTGTCGAGCCGCCGACACCACCAAGACCAGCACGACCCGCGCTCAAGAGGAAGAGGCCTTCGACTCCAGGCTCGGCCCCGGCCTGCGTCACCCCCGGGCCCACCTCCCAGCCGAAAGCCGCTAGCCGAGGGCAGCCAGAGTTTGGGAGCCAGGCTTGCAACAGAAGCACGCCCAGGCCGCAAGTTGTAGAAGTCGCTTGCTCCTAAAGTAGTCTTGGTAGTTGTCGGCGCAGTTGAAGGGATCACACGAAAAGGCTGGTGGCAAGTACCTGTACCAGTGATACTGGTGGTCTTGCTTCCACTGCTCCTGCTATTGATACCGCTACTGCTACTGCTGCAGCTACGGCTACAGCTACTCAGTTACTCCGACCGGTGCTACTGCTGCTACTAGTGTTCCCGCTCCCAGTACTTACTTTTCTGACAACTACAAGAAGCAACTGCGCCACAAACTGGTTTTCAGGTTCGATCTTTGAGGTACCTTCCATCCTTTCAGCCCCCCTTTCAATTCCGCATGGTTCACCAACGTGCCACTTGCACAGCAAGAAACCTATGTCAACCGTGCAGCAGATCACAGGCTTTGTCCTCCCGGGCCATTCTAGACGCTGGACATGTCCGAAAGGGTTTCGGCGTTTTCCTCCCGGCAACTAGTTTGTGCGGTGCAACTTGGAGCAGGCCGAGGTGTCTGCGACGACTATCCAGGCACGACACTACCGATGCTTGCAGACCTGCCTTGCTTCATTCCGCTTGAGTCACATCACCGAAAGGTTGCCAATGTGTCTTACAAGTGTGCGACAACTATCGTGAGCAGACTGACGCATCCATCAGAGACTCTTGTCGTAACTTTGTGGCGTTTTGTTTCCCATGCATTTCGACGTGTCGTATTGATGGAAATGGATTTGACACACAAGCTTGAGAGGCTGACATCGATGGGAGTGCTCGGCTATTGCATTTGTCCCTTTGCTGAGAGGATTTTGATCTGAGCACACCGATTGCCGCACTACCTAGGCACAGGCGGCGTGCTCACCTATACACTCACGCGCCCTCCCGCAAAAGCAAAAGCCTGCTGGCTGATACTAGTTCGGAAGGCATGTTCAATTGAAGACCTTGGCTGGCAGGCAACATGGTTTCGCCTGCACTTTGAATGATTGCGGTTGTTGTCCAAGATTGTCAAGATTTCGGCTCGGGAGAGCTCAGGAAAAGTGAAGTTGGACATTGGCTTCCGTTGCACTCGCCACCGCACCTGGCAACGACTTGGTGCCGAGTCCGACGGGCTGTTTCACAAAAAGATCCAAAATGGCTTTGGCGCCTGCTGCCCGGGTTGCTGCTACCCCAAGCTATTGCAGTAGTTGAAGCAGGCGCTCCGGTGACACACGGCCACCTGCCGTCGCTCTCTTTGGAAAGGGGATCACGACCCATTGTGTTACCTACCCTCATGATGCGGTGAGTGACTTTGTTACTGCCGACCGGAAGACGGAAAGTTTCGTCAAAGAGTGAATCAAATGCAAGCAAGTAGCACGATGTTTGGGCATCCTTGGCAGCCATGGCTGCGCCCTCCTGGGCCGATTGCGGCGGGTGTCATCAACCCGGCGCCGCCGGGACACCCGACTTACCATGATCCTCGCATTCGGTGGGGCCGGGCTTCTAGTTGCGAACGCTGGACGTCGAGAGCATCGCTACCGGCGCCGAACTCCGTCGGTCACCTCTGTGGACCCCCGCGGACGCATATGCCCGCAAGTCTGGTCGCACCGCCAGCTTTTGCGAAGCCTGCATTTCTGTCTCGCCCTCAAGATCCGCGGCAGCAGCCTGGTCCGGAACGCCCGGAAGTTCGAAGGCGAGCTTCGGAGAGTTCTCTGCGACCGGGAATCCCGGGCCACTTTGCTTCGGAGCTGCGACCGCGTTCCGAAGTCTCTGCAGCCCTGGTGGCCTGGCACTAGAAGCTTCACCGTGGCGGCATCCTCCACAGCCCTCGCATAGATGTTCGACATAGAGTATTAGCATTCTCGGCCATCTTGTGGATGTTCGCAATCGTAGAGTAAGTCGGTGGTAGGAGTCATGAGAAGCGAGCAACAAAGGAAGACACGCATGAGGTTCTGCTGCGAACATGGGGAAATGACGGGAAGTGCAAGAGTTGAATGAACAACGTGCCAAAAGATGGCATCTTTGAGTTTTATCGGCACGGGACTGAAGCGGTGCCGAGGACCTGCTTTCTGCTTGTTCCTTGAGACCGAGCTCCCTACCGCCAGCACCAGCGAAATCGGCCTCCACGATGGTAAGATGCCAAACGCTCAGCACTGAAGCTCGCAGCGAGCCGGTGCATCCTGCACCACAGGAGCAGCAACTTGGACTGATAGCTGGAGCGGTGCTCAGATGTGGATAGACGCTTGTTGTACTTTGTCTCGCTTGGCCACGAGGTCGACTGCCATGGCGTCTCCACAGTCATTGAAGTCAACCGCAAGTTCTAGTCCGCGGCACTCACCATGCAACCTAGTCGCAGCAAGCACGTCTGCCCAAGACCCGTGCTGCTTCCTGCTTCCATCTTGCTCAATTGCACCACGGCCAACCGCGCCCGATTCGTGAGCCTTGCAGCTGTTCCGATGAGCAGACACGTGAGTCTTGAGAGTTCCCGGGAGCATAGAACTTCACTTTTGGATGGGTTGTCTTGGGAGGCCTTAGTATCCCGAAAGGTCCGGAAGACTACTTCAGGTTAGGAGAGACTACAATCGCGTAGAGGGCTCAAGATGGGAACTTACAGCCTACAGTTGATCGGCCAATTCCCCTCTCTCTCTATCTGTCTTTCTCGGTTTGAGAAGTGGGAGATGGAAGTTTAAGGATCAGCAAAGCATCCGACTTCGAGCGAGTGTTGTATTGAGTTGGCCCAGGCTTGCCGTTTGCCGGCTCCTTCGTCTTGCGCCAAAATGCGGTGGCCGCTGAGGCAGGCTGCTGCAAAAGACGCTCCACGTGGTTCTCATGCTCGATGAACGCAAGCGCTGAAGCAGGTCCCAAGCAGCTCACGCCCAGGCTCGGATGACCCTGTCACATAGACGACTCGAAGCGCTTCCTGCCAATCCTACCAGTTTCCGAGAATTAGGGGTGCCTTACTTTGGGGACCTTATATGTAATAAGGAATAAGGACTATATTAGGGTTCCCTACTTTCGGAGTGCAGGCGGTAATGAGGCAGCAGATGGCTCGGTCGCTTGGAGACAGCGAAATTGCTCCTGACACCTTGTGCTCGTTTGAACTCCGGACTTCTGGTCACCAGTGCCATCTTGTTAAGGCGAGGCCGTCGCGGCCACAGCAGAAGCAAGAGATGCGTAGATTAGCAGAAGATGCTGGCAGATGTGCGAAGAAGCTTGGCTGAATCCTGTTCGCCTCAGCCAAGCCACGACGAACTTCCAGCCCAGGGACGATGTGACATCGGCTGAGAACTTAGTGATGGTGGGCAGGCCGCGAACTCGGGCTTGGGCCACGCTTGCATTTTGTTCCGAATTCTGAGGTCTCGCCTGCCAGGCCAGAATTCCACACCGATGACACCGCATTTTCACCGGTGCGGATGAGTCCACCGATATCATGTTTGCCATGTTCCCCTGGAGCCGGACTCAGTTTCTTGTCGCGGGCGTGGTGGTGTCAAAGTCAGCGCGGGAATTCTCGTGACGCCACCAATCCCTCGATTGCAACGACATATCCAGCCGCTTTGTTTCGAGCTGGGGCCCATGCACAAACCATGGACCGAGGTGAGTCCCAGGATTGGTCCGTCCTTCAGGCCGCCCCACGAAGCGATGAAGCGAAGTCTGCGATGTTGAAGCCTGCGAAGCCTACCCTCTAGATCATCTGGAAGTGCTCAGGTGTGCCGAACTGATGCTGGCACGCAGACTGCCACGTCTGAACGGCAGCGGTCAGATGACGGTCGACTTCGTGATGATACAGCCACGGGAGCCCTGGAAGATGAAGTGCTGTGGTTCAGGAGCAGAAATTTGCCTGCCTGTATTAGTGCCCTTGCAATACAGGAGGAGGCCCCCGCAAATCAGTCACAGTCACATTGCTTGCGAAAGCTTGAAGTGCGTGTGGCTTCGTGCTGGCGACAAACCACCGGCCACGGGTCAAGCCTCAAAGGCAGCGAGCACAGCAGCTTGCAGTTGTCGTCAACACAATCGCCTACCTCTACTTCTGCCAGGGAGAACATAGGAAGTGAAGGAAGCGCCACCGATCGCTGTCGCTTGCAGCACACGCCCACCGACTCCTTCTCATCTGTTTCTTCCCCACTGGACAGCATGAGCCTCTTGAAGGACGTGCTGGTACTAGCAAGGGCACGTACGACTGAAGCTACAATAGATTGGGTGTGCATTTGCGCCCTGAAGGATCTGGAGATGCCAAGTCCACAGTGGGTCCGGGAACAGAAGGACGATTTTTCCAGACTACCGGTTCAAGACCTTCAGAGAAGGGCAGAGGCTTTGACACAGAAGCTGCAGCACAGTCGCGAGGATTGAGTCAGTGCACGTTCTTTTCTTTCCTGTGCCGCTGATGTTTTCGCAGCACATGGAATATACACTTCGGGAAAAGCACATCCGAGGAGAACATCAATGCATGGTGCTGCGAGAAGCATTGGACGCCTGCAACAATCGCTTTAAACATGCGCTGCGGCCAGAGATGGCAGGCCGGCTGGAAAGTCTGAGGCAGTAGAGCGTAGCTGCGACTGCCTTTTCAGCACTTTCTTGATTCGCTTGGACATCGACACGGTGCCACACGTGCCTGATACATCCTGATGCGACTCCAACATGCCATAGGGAGTCGGCATGTGTCGGCAGAGCTTAGAGAGAACGCTAGCCGCCAGAGTCTAAACACAGAGACACCATCCAATGCAAAAGATGCGGGAGCCGACGTTCGAAACATCTCAATACATTCGCCATCGTAAGGCGGACCTGGCACAGGTTACGATGCCTTTCGAACGAACCAAAGGGTACAACATAGGCCGTAGATTTGTGGACAAAAATTGCACCGGATCTACATGCCTGCTGATTGCACACCCACGTCTGTGTGTCTGAACCAGAGCCGTCTTTGTTCTCAGGCACCGGCCAGAAGCGCACGAGAGCATGAAAGATCGACCCCTTGGCTTCAAGAGTCGGAGCTCTTGTCGAATGTACAGGAATTAGCCACCACTTCGGTTTGCCAGTCGAGTTGCTTAATTCGTTCATTGCAGGCCAGGACACATGTCCCAATTCATGGCCAACTTGACGGCTGCACACTGACGGGGTTGAAGTGCGTGTTGCTTGCTGACTTGTAGAAAACTATGGCGCGCCTGCCTTTTCGCCAGAAGTATTCAGCCTTTCTCTTCCACGGCCAGGAGCGTCTGTCTCGCAGAAGTCGTCTGGGAACATGCATGCTCCGTCAAAGAATCGCCGATGAACCTGTACACGGCTAGTTCCTTGCACGATCTCAAGCCAAAGGCCCAAGCGTGTTCGCCGTGACGACGACAGACAGGCGGGCCCTCAGCATGAGATCAGCCTTTCTCTCTGTCTCGCTCTCTCTCTCTCTCTCTCTCTCTCCCTCCCTCCCTTCGTTTTTTCATCAGAGAGGGAGTCTAGAGTGCAGGGTTAAGGAGGAAGTTCGCCACATGGCAAGAAGCGATCGCCACAGGGGCACCCAAATGGTGTGGATTCCTGGGTGCCCCGCGCTTTGGCCTTTTATGGCCTCACAACGATTTCGTTTAGCGACGCAACCTTTTGTGTTGTGGTCTGTTTGCTAGCGGCTAGCTGCTGATTACAGGCCTTGTTACCGTTGGTTTGCCTTGCCTTGTGAGCCCATGTGTGCATCGTCTGCAGCCACGGGGTTGTCATCTTCCCCGGCTTTGTTTAGCTTGAACTCAATCGTTACCTTCTCACTGCTCTCGACATGCAAGACTCGATGTCAGCCTGGACTAATTACTTGAGTAGATCTTGCCGGATGATCAACATACGAACATCAAGGCCAAGCAGACGACAGCAAGCATCAGAGATCACCTCAGCATGTTTCCTGATTTTGCGATTTCTGGTGAAGATTCCTCGGCAAGCTTTGGCAAGCCACACAAGAAAAAAAAGAAGAAAAGCAAAGGAGGCGATGAGGATTTTGCAACTGGCTGGGTGGAAAGGAATGTCGCGGATGCTCCCGAAGGCTTTGGCGTTGGCCTTGGCGATGGGGCAGAGAGCTCCCAGGCGCCAGAGGCCAGAAACCCCCGAAGAGTGAGTTTCAGTGAGGATCCTCCAGAATCACGCACCTTCAGCAAGACCGATTTTGACACTGGGGCAGGTGTCGGAGCTTGGCCTGAGGAAACGTCCCCGACAAAGCCGGATGCAGCCCAGAACCTGCAGCCGGAAGAGCTGTGCTGGAACTGTGGCAAGAGATTCGATCATTGGGACTCGGTGTTTTGCCGTCATTGTGGAGCAAAGCGAGGGTCCCCGGCTGCACCCAATACGCCTTCACTTGGTGAGGCCCCAACACTCACGAGCCACAGCGGGCCAACTCGGCCGCTCGAGCGGCGCTTCTCATTCTCGCTGATGGACATGGCAGATGGCCAGGGCCAAGGAGGCGGAGGCCTCCACACAGGCCTGCAGACAGTTCAGAGAGGCCTGGCGGGGTCGCCATATTTGCCAGGCAGCGAGCCCATCAGGGAAAGCTTGGAGTCGCAGAAGTGGAATCCGTTAGATGGAGTGAGACGCCACTGGCAACCACGGGACGAGGAGTTTCGGCGCCCTCAAGTCCAGTCGGATGATGCTGGCCCTCACCTCCTTGCCGCAATACGGTCTGGAAGTGTCGTGGAAGAAGTTCAGAAAGCCGAGCAACGGCTACAAGGGCTTCAGCAAAAGATATCGAACCTCGAATCCTCGCTATCCAGAGACTCATGGTCAATTGGGGGTCGAGTCGCCGTGTCCCTGGCAGACGCTGACAGAGATTTGGGGATTGCGCTGCATGGCTTAACGATTTCAGGCATTACCGATCCACAACTAGCCAAAATGGCGGGTTGGGCTGTTGGTGACCACATATTGCAGGTGAACGGTGTGATTGTCCTGACTCCCCAGCAACTGGCGCAGGAGCTCAGGAAGGCGCAAAGCGCACACAGAGCTGTGAAGAGGCCAATCCAGCTGGAAATCTGGCGTCCAGGCAGAAATGCCCTTGAAGAGCTTCGCACTCCGTCCCCAAGCAAGCTGGGCCAGCCACCACGGCCAACCGGGCCTGCCAGATCGGAACCCATCACATATCAAAATTGGGCTGGCCCGAAGCTCTCGTCTCAGCCACAGCCGTACAAGCCCCACACGACGCCAGAACTTGCCACACGTGAGAACTGGGCTGGCCCGAAGCTCCTGTCGTCTGCACCACCTGCCTACACGGCTCAAAGCTCGCAGTTGACTAGCAAACCGTCAAGGCGGCGAGCATCACTGTGTTGAAGCACAATCACTTGAGTGTGGACATCGCAGAGGCGTCAGGACATGGCTGGACGTTGTAGGAACGACTTGTATTTCGTGTTCCGATCTTGGCAGAGCAAGCGGCCGAGCGTAAACGAAACAACTACCAACATACCCACACAAGTCTCACTGTGTTACTTGTAGCATGGTGTAGCAATGTAGCAATCGCATGAAAGCCGGCAAACGCGGCAAGAGTTCAGAGTCATTCACGTGTGGCCGCTTGACTGACCGGGGCATAGAGTGAAGCAGAGCAACTTCTCGCCGGGCTGCAGGTCATTCCTTCGCTTTGCTGAACAGCAGCAGAGACGTTTGCGTAGCACCAATCGAAGGTATGCGCGCTTGTCCTAAATAAAAATCGCTCTTGCTGCATGTCTCTTCATGTGCCCTGGGGCTAGGACGGCTAGGACTGCTAGGACTAGGAACGGAGCTTCCCTAGTGGACGGGACACGCGGTACCACGCCGACTGTACGTGTTGTGGCTCGAGCACCGCAGCAAGAATGCTGCTGCTTTAGGGCATGTCCCCTCCAGGGCCAACAGCGCTCAAGAAGCTACAGCCGGTGACCCGACAAGCAGGCACCAAAGGCTCGCACAAAATCAACAAGCACTGGGCATGGCCGCGAGCTCGGTTGCAGTGCAGGATGGTGAAGGGAAAAGCGTGTCCGTGATAAAGAATTGCAAAACTGCAAACTGCATGGCTGCGTGGCTTAGGGCTCGGAAAGTCAGAGTCAGCGCGATCCAGCGGAAAGTGGCATACCTGGCCCTGAAAGCCAGATGGAAGTGGAATGAGGCCGTCATGCCACACTGAAAGATGCACTGTGGAGTTCGGGTCTGTTTCAGGTGGAGAAGATCTGCCAGCGCCTCACCGAGGAGTGGAAGCAGCCCCCGCTGCTCTGCCTGCTACTGCCCACAGCTTCTTCCGACGAAGCCCTTACGGCACTCGATGCCCTGTCCGACCGGGGCATCTTGCGTCTCGGTTACAGTTACAAGCAGCTGCATTTAAAGGTGTTGTGGCCGCGCGGCGCTGCCAGACAGGGCTCCGAATGGATGTTCTTTCTAGAGATGATGTGTCACCTTTCAAAGGAAGCAGGTGGGCTTTTCAGGAAGGACTGGATGCCTATGCCGGTCGCATGCAGCCAAGGATTGAAGCCTTTGCAGAGACCCTCTATTGTGGACAGGAGGTGTGCTTGTGGATTCTGAGGTCGGGCATGCACAGCAAGTGAAGCAATGTGTTCGCGATTTTCCTGTCCTACATGGAAAGCGCAGGTGGGAGGGTGAGAATCCGACCAACGATCCTCCGGCGATCACCCTGGAGCTCTTTGCTTCGACTCTTGGGCTAAAACGAAATTCACAGGGTCACTGTCACCATGAAGACCTGACACTTTCGCAAAATGCAAGGCTGGTGACAGCAGCAACGGCCAAGCTTCACCCTCCTGATTCTGGTCCTTTCCTTTGGCCTCTACATGACAAGGACATCGCCTCCGCCATCGCGTTATGCGAGCCTGGAGCTCAGAGCGACGGCCCTGTGCCAACACTGGAACAGAAAAGCCAATTCTTCTGTGCCGTGCAACGCACAGAGAATCCGTGAACATGTTCCGCTTGGCTGTGGCGGCCGTCACTGGCCATCGGGTCTGACGGTATTCGGCACCGTGCAAGTGGACGAACGCATTCAGAGAATTGTACAGCGTCAAGTGCTTGCAATTGTGGCAAAACGTTGCGCAAGAGAGTTGCACGAAAGCCATGCCAACTTATCTTGACCAAATTGCTGGTAGAGTGGAAAAAGAGGCGGGCAAGAAGACAGCGACGGACATGCACCATAAGCCGGCCACTCCATAAAACAGGGTTGCTTCTGCCTCCTCACAAGGTATGCTGGAAATGATGCTCCATGGTGGAGAAAAGTTCTCTGGGCATTGAGGATAATTCAGCCTCCAGGCAGCCTCCTCATGCAGCAGTTGTTCATGGCTAAGATGTGCTAGCGTCGCGCGAGCTGCTAGGCGGAACCGTTCTTGAAGAGTGTCTCTTGGATCACTACGGCCGTGAGGCGGGGAAGACGTACGGCTGACATGGACTCTCCTTTCACGAAAGTCTGCACCAGCAAGTGATCAGGTCGGCTATGTTTTTGCTTGGACAAACGTCTTTGTTCGCAGTCTTTGGGTGCTGACTGCTGTTTGCTTGGCCTTCTGGATCTGTGGAGCTCGTCCTCAGATGGGTGGATACGAGGGAACGCTGTGCGGCGCTCATGATGTTACCATTCGGTGCGAGAACTAGCACGAGAGAGCTTTTCTGCAAGCAGCCCCCTCGCTGCAGGTGGTATTTATTGCAATTCTTGATTCTTTGCTGGGCCATCTGTTTGTGCGCAGCCGCTTGGACGCACTGGCAAGACTGCAGGTCTGGAAGCATGCGAGACTCTTCTACTCGCCTCCCTCACTGGGTCTTTGTTGGACCTGAGTGCTTCAAGAACCGGGGAAGGGCCTGGAGGGGCTTGGCTGCTTCGTTTCCAGCCAGAGCTGGACCACAGAATTGAAAGGCCAATTGGATTTCGATGGAATCTCTGAATACTAGTTACTGGTGCCTTGCCACCTTGAGCAAACATGAACTTCTCCTCTTCCCAGCGCTTGACTGGTCCGACTTTGTATTTTAGCAAAGCTCCTTAGACACGGA